GGGGCGCGGTATGGGGTCAGGGATAGTGTTTTGGGGGTTCTGTTTCAGCGTGGAGATCTCAGGGGTCACGATTGATTGGTTAAAATTTAGGGTTCTGCCTGGAGGCCTTACTGCTCACGAGGTTCTGGGTCTAGACTCTAGTGCTTACGGTTCAGTCTTGACGTTTCAGTGGTTATTCTTTAGGGTTTACGATTTAAGATTCAGTGGTCAGGTGTTAGGTTTTGCGCTTCAGCTTTCTGGTTTCAACCTTCAGGCTTCTGGTTTTATCGGTTAGATTCTGGTTTAGGATTTAGCTCTTAATATTCATCGTTCATGATTAATCTATTACGTCTCAGATTTTAGATCTGTTTTTTAGGCTTTATGGTCTACTCTCTATGATTCAGGCTCCACGATTTTTGCTCTAGGTCATAGGCTGCCCTCAGTTCCTCTTTTAACCGTTTAGTTGTAGATTCCTGGTTTATATTTTAGGGGGTACGATTCAGAACCCACGGCCCAGATTTAGTGTTTATGTTTTAGATTCTGCGGTTAGAGTTTAGGTTTCAGGCGTTTAGATTCAGGGAGCACGGCTTAGGAGCTAGGAGGGACATTCTAGTCGTTATGGACTAGGGTTCAGCTTTCAGTCCTCATCCTTTAGGGTCTAGGATTTCCGATTCTGTGCGTAGGGTTTAGTCTCTAGGTTCTGGGTTGATAGGTATGCTTCAGGGTCTAGGTTTTAGGGTCGAGTGTCTGAGGTTTGGGTTTTAGGGTTTAGGCTTTAGGCTCTGGCCTGGAATGTTGTGAGTTTAGGGTTCTGTTTTTGGATCACGATCTAGGGTTTATGGATCATAGGTCAAGAGGTTAGGGCTTAAAATTCAGTGTCTAGGCCTGCTTGGCTAGAAGACAGAGTCTTCAGCTTATGTTCTAGACTTGTGGCTTGTGATCTAGGCTTTAGTTTGCTAGGATTTAGATGCTATTGCATAGGACTTATGTTTCGGTTTTTAATCATCATATTTGTCGGGTGACTCTTATGGCCCCGGGTTCTGTACTCCTTGCGATGCGGTTTCATGTCTTATGCTCTGTTTGAGGCCTATTCTTTGCTGGTTTGGGGATTCTCCCGGTTTGTTATACTCTTTGCCTCTGGTTATTGACCTGTTGTGATCTGCTGAGAGAATGTCTCATGCTTCACATCTCCGGTATTCTGGGAAGGTGGCCTTTTAAGCTGTGGCTTCCTGGATTTTGCCATGTTGTCCTGTTTCCACGACTTAGTCACGATATCTTTTCGATTCCCTTGATACCCTTAAATTTAAGTTCTATTCGGTTCGGCTTAGGCTTCGGGGATAGTATTCGTTCAATGGTATTATGCTACTGCGTTTAGGGTTCTGGAGTTATCATTTAAGATTTACGTTTTGGGGGTCGTGCCTAGCTTGCAGCTCTTTTCTTTCTACTTTGGGATTTGTAGATGCCTTAGCCGTTCGATTTAGAGTGTACTGTCCAAGGGGTAGTGCTTGCGACTTAATACTTAGGTATTATCCCTTAAGGTGTAGCCCAGAGGATTCATTGCATACTCCTCAGGTTATACTCCTACCTGCCCTAGTAATTAGGTCACCATATCTCCACATAGTGGTACTATAAAGGTGTATCACCTACTGGTAATACGGGTAGCACGCCATGATTTTACGCTCCTTGATTTTTGGTTTAGTATCCTTCTTTTAAGGCCAATCTTCTGGGCTCATACTTGAAGGTGTAGGTAGTGCATGTCAGTATGGAGCCTATTCTAACTTAGCCGGTACGGACGACATGCCGTTTGCTGATTTCCTCGTTTCATGCTGAGGATTCAGGTTTCTTGGCCTGCTTCATCGGTTGGGTGTAACTTCGTGGACTTATCCCTTAGCCCTAGATTTTATATGGTATGACTTAATGTCGAGGAATTTGTTTGATGGATTTGGATTCTGTTCCTAAGCATGAAAGTTTAGTGCTTAGGCCTGCGGTATGTTGTTCTTAAGGAAGCACCTGTATTTTATAGATTGGGGGATTCAGGGTTATGGAGTTGTGTTCCTTCTAGTTCGTACTGTTCTTCTTTATCTGTTCTGAGTTTAAGTTTAGGTCTTAGTCGGTATCCCTACCTCTAGGCCCGCGACTGTTTCCTTACTTTTGGCTGCTCCTGCATCAGTTTGTATTCCCTATTGTTAGCTCCTGAGGTTTTCTTTCCCCTTCTCTACCTGTTAGGCGCAGCTTATAATTCCTCTTCTCCTGCTTCCCATGTTGTCCGGTTAAAGGCTTATTATTTCTAGACTCCCTTTCCTTATTACGACTCAATCTCTTGGGGGTCCCCCTCCAGGTTCGACGCTTAACGTCCACATTTAGGCTTTATGTTCATGCTGCAAGACTATTGCGTTAAGTTCAGAGTTCATTCTTTATAACTTGACTGCTCATGCCTTGGGGTTTACACTTCCTGGTTATTGCCCCTGCATGTATTTTTAACTTCTTAGGTTTCATTCCTTATGCTGTATCTCTTAGCCAAGAATGATTAAGTTTTCGATTTTGGATTTAGCCCTTGGAGTCTCAGCCTTGTTCCTCCTTTTTTAATTCCTGGGCTTTAACCTGTATGGGGTGTCAGGTAGGGCTTAAGCCTCAGTGAGGCTGAAGTAAGTTCCATGCTACAGGCACTGTTGGGCACATGCAATGCTTAGGCGTAGAGACTGGAAATGTATATCGCAGAGGTAGTTTTTCAGTCCCTGCCCATTTCCCTTATTATATGGATTCTATCTCGTACTTCCTAAACTGTACTGTCGGCCTCCTGTTTCAGGCTCTAGGTTGCTCCCATTATTGCTTATGCCTGCTCTCCCTTTTTTACGCTCTTCTCTGGCTTAGGTTCCTGTAATTTTGAGGGCTGCAACACTATGGAGTTCTGTTAAAGAGTACACTTCTCTCTATATATTTTACCTGTACTCCTTGGTTTTTACGCTTCAATTTTACGCAGTTAGGTTGCAGGGTGTAAGCACCTATCTCATTTGGGTTTTACTCAGGCATTGTGCTGTCGGCTTATGGAGGTTTCGTGTTGTCTCAACTTTTATTGTTCACTCTGTATTCTTTAATATTTAGCATTAATGCTTTATTTTTTATCCCTCCGGTTCGACTCTTGAGTGTATTTGTCAGGGTTTATCCTTTATGTTTTCTCCTCCAGGTTCCTGTGTATGGCCGGGGGGGTTTCTTTACCCCTTAGCGTCTATTAGTACTGTTCGATAAGTTATTTTAGGCGGGTAAGAATCACTGATTATGCGCCTTTTGTACTGTGATCATCCTTAGGTTTTTAGGATTTAGGTTGGAGTGCTTGTGTTGCTGGTCTCGGGTACTAAGTTTTATACCTCAGGGCTTAGTCTTGACGGCTTAAGAGTGAGGCCTGTAGCTTAGGGGGTACTTGGACTCTCCAGTATTTATCCGTACGGTTAGGTTCGTATTTAGTCCTCGTTATCTTTGTTTCTTGCTGTTATTTCCTATTTGCTTATTCTTAGGATTCCTCGTCTTATCTTGACGGTTTACGGTTCAGATTCCATGGTTGGGGATTCAGTTCCACTCCTTACGATGGATCTGATGTTGCTAGGGGGTATTCTTGTCTGAGGAAATGTGGGGTGCCTGTTGGACTCCTTAGGTTTACGGTTTATACCGTTGGTGTATGCTGCATCTCTCAGGTGTTTGCGCTACGGCTCATGCTGCAAGGTGTTTTGGTGTATTTGGTCCTATTATTCTTCAGGGTATGTCCCCGAATGATTTTGAGTTAGGCATCATGTTTAGTTTCTACAGGGTTTAATTTGGGGCGCCATCGTGTACTGCTTTTTCTTTACTTCCTATGGTTCTGATATGTGTTGTATTACTTGGTTTTCAACGTGGAGTGTTTGTGGTGTATGATTTATTGCTTATGCTTTATGGTTAAAGGCTTATCCTTCCTGTTTCTGATTGTGTCATCAGCCTCTAAAGTCTATTGTTTACGGTTAACCACTTAATGCTGTCCGCTCCGGATTTACAGTTTGGACCTTAAGCAGCGCCTCACAAGCACCATTGCCCAATTTGCGTCTCGAGTTTCTGTACTCCCCCCTCGGATTTACTTTATCATCTCCTCGTCCTTGTCATAATCGTGCGCTGTTTGGCTTTCTTTAACGCGCCTCTTTTTCTCTCCTCTTTGTGGTCTCTTCTTAGGTGTGTGGGAAGATATAATCAAACATATATTTGTAGATTCTTTATTATTCTGCCCATATTAAAGATATCTTAAGTGTCTTAATATAAAGATACAGAGCAATCAATGTTCAGACTCTCTCCGTTTCCTGTATTGAGATATATACAGAGGAACAACTGTCTTACTGATCTAGTCCTATTTCCCTGGCTGTTTTATTGTCATCCTTTTCCCATAGGATATATCCGTAAAATCGGGGAGTTATACAGGCTGGGATGACGCGCTGAATTATAGAGCACATATCCATCTATATTAATGTTAATCTATACTGTTCTAAGATTTGATGTTCATGAGTTGTCTCTCATATCCAAATGTGTATCCTCCTGTTCGTCTATGTCACTAGTGAATTCCTCTTAATGATATGGATATTATGGGAGGGGTACACAACAAGTTTGCTGCTTCACCATTCTTTGAATGTTTTTATTGAAATGTGTCAACACATGTTGAATGACTCCTATTTATCACTTGATTTCCTGCCTCTACAAGAAATTTGTACATATGACTCTGGAGTAAAGGCGATTATAGGAGAGTACCGCATAACTTTTGGATCCACTCTTAGAGGAGATATGCTGTCGGTTATGAATTCCACTGGTGCTATGGAAGCCTCCTGTGCTCATAGAAAATATATGTATATATGACGTCCAATAAATTAACCTTTGTATTTAATTGAGGATAATAAAAATCGAAGCGACAGATATTCTGCTTATTACTGCTATTCATGCATAAATGTGATATATTCATACTATGACAGTTCGTATTTTATGTTTTATCATGCAAAACTGAGTTTATCACTCTTATATCCCTATTGTGAAATACGGAGGAAGGGATGGGGATAAATAGTATAGATATTGTTACTTCTGTTCCACAGATACAGTTGTCAAGCCGTGTTAAAACGGGAGAATATTAATACTGTGGTGCAAATTCATTTGTTTTCCCATGTTCAGAGATCTAAATAGCACTCATTTGTTGTTGGCATTCCCATAGATCAGACGAAATTGAGAGATTTTTTACTTATACTTACAATATATGCCGATGATAATGTCATCGCGGACAATCCATCGTCTATATCGGAATTGTTGGATTACCGTCCTGTATTAATGTTGTGTGCAGTCT